GAGGGAACGCTGCTTTGATCCCTCCGGGAAATGAGGTCAAGTCCTTCTTTACCCAAGCATCTACACTGGATTTCTAATGGTGATATATCCAGCCCGACAAACAGACGTGTCTTTAACACATGACTCCCTCTTCCTTCTGCTCCTGGGTACAGAAGGATAATTGTTAGCTGCTTCTAAACTTGCTGCCGATCCTCATCGTCGTCGCCACGAAAACAACTCGGCATTAAGTCTTTTAATACCAAGGAAGTTTAAAACCCAGCCACGGTTTCTGTTTCAACACCTCCAAGGTTTGTCCAAACCTAGTGCTGATTACCGTCAGGAGCCAGTTAATGCCAAGATTTGCTACTCGGTGGCTAAAAATATATTACATTTCCTAACCCAGCTCCAGACCACAAAATTGCTATAGCGGGGAAAGACTCAGCATGCCATTTCCCAGGAATTCAGCTCCAGCACAGAATCGGACCCTCGCTGGCCTGCTCAGTTTCCACCAAGCTACACACAGGCTTCAGGAGCTCCCGTCCCAGCCGGGAACCCGTCACAGCCCCTTGCCCCACGGAGCCTTTTCATTTCACCTTGGCCTGGCTTTTAAAAGCACCACTTCACTCTTTTGCAAAGATCAACCATTGCATTCATTCAGCAGCAATTACTTCCTTTAATACGGAGGCAGTGCCTGCCTCTGGAGTGCAATGGGACTGATCTAATCGGTCTTTTCCTAATACCGCCCTCCCTTCCTGCTGAAATCCTAAAACAAGCCTCAACCATAGCTCTCTATTAAGCTACGCAAGTTAAATTCCCCCTCGTGCTAGCCTGGTCCTGCTTCCAGCCCCCGCACCCAACAGTTTAAAGAATTTTATGAATGCACATAAAAATTGAGTAACTTATTTTTATTGCCACTGTCCAGCAAATTCAGCAACTTTGAAAGAGAGACTTTTAAATCAGATCAGTTATTAATAGTCCTCACTCCATTGGAAGGGGACAGATCGCTGCACAGAACTGGAAAAGACACCTAATAAAAAATGGATGGCATTATTGACTCAAACCAATGACACGACGCATTCGTCCCAGGGAATCGTCACACATGCATCTGCCCAGCAAGCTCCTGACAAACACCCGTGCTGCAAAGATGGGTGCTTCCTTCACCCCTAGCTCAAGGGTAGGAAGTTGCTGCGGACCCCACCTGCTACTGCTAACAGAACATCTGCTCTCCGCTTCTTTCCATCTCCCCTGGTGTCCGGGAATCACACTGCGCACCAGACAGAGCAAATGCACCATACAGCACAGTGCATCATAGTACAACACTGCTTGCATTCACACATGTTGCATAACTAGCCTAACCCACCCACCAAGCCTCCTCGGAGGTAGATACGAACGGTCCTGCTCCAGTCCAACAAGGTTAAGCGTGCACTTTGCTTGTAGTCCAGAAGCCCTATTCACTCCAGTGGCATCACTGGTGAGCTCCAAAGCCCTGATTTGGCAAAGTGCTTGCCATCTGGTCAATGCAACAGGAGGTACCAGGAGCCGGGTGAGACCTTCCATGGGCTGGGGTCACAGTCCCCACCACTCTTACTACTTGCTGATCATGCCTGCTATGTAAGTATTGATCCAAGGGTGGGTCAGAGCCCCACAAGTGGTACCTTTGATTCTGAGCAGGGATAGGGGCAGGCTTTCCCCAAGGCCTGAGCACGCTCCCATCAACCTGCCTTTGAGGTCAGTGGATTTTCAAAGTCCTTGGAGCGCTTTGCCTTTCCACACTCCCATCACTCCACGCGAGCATCACACCTCCCAGAGGCTACGCCATCACAGCCCATTAATCACCAGATACGTTGAGGTGGGAGAAAAAGCCTCGCCACCTAGACCGAACTTCTGGGAGGCAGGAGAAAACCCTACAGATGAGGGAGCTAAGAAACAAATATTATTCCCCTAACACACATACATCCCCCCACCTTTCCTCCTACCACACACAGCATTTCAGCCATAACTACCAAAGGAAGATGGCAGGTCCGATGCCATGCTAGGCAGTCAGTGGGAGCCCCATTAGAGGTGGGGCTGGATGCAGAAGCAACCCTGTGCTGGTCAAGGTAGTTTCTCAAGCCCTGAGGCGGACTTAGCTTCACTCACAAAATCAGAGGAACTAGTCATGCAGGCCATTTCGCTTTCTGCAGGCAGCCTCTGGAGGATGAGGAGATGCGACTCACTTGGGACACAGATAACAGAGGTAGGGAGGTATCGCATTGATTTCTGGCACAACTGTATTTGGAAAAAAATAAAGAGAGTCTCCATACAGGTATGGGGCAGAGTGGCTGACGTGCCCACCCCATACATGCACTGACGCCGAAAAAGCCAAAGGCACCAGCTCCAGAGAGCGATTAGCTTTATCCTCCAACGTGATAAGGCAGATCACGTCCGCGGCACATTCAGAAGGCATTTCATGTGGGGTGTTCAAAGCACGGCTGATATTTTGACACATTCAGTTCATATGCAAAAAGGTTATTCTTATTTCCCTGAAGCAGATCTCCCGGCCGTTGATTCTGTACCTTAAAAATAACCAATATTTAACCTACTCACAAGCAACTTCCCCCCTCCCACCACTTCATCCCTTGCTGCCCCCCCACCCAATGCATGAAACATTTCAAAAGGCAGCATCACGTTATTTTTATGAACTCCCATTACTTGCCTTGCCCATATTCAGGGAAATGGAAATACGAAGGCTGTTTAACTTTTATGAGTCCAGCACATGCTTCACAATATTCAAATATGCAATAATTTCTCGCCAGGAGAACAAAGGTAAGCTGCAGCGCTAAGCTTTAATGGAACCACAAGCTTACGCATGTCTGTACGGTTCGGGTTTTTCTGGAGTCCATCAACAAAAAAGCCCATGCCACTGCAGTCAGCACAGCTCAACGCCAACTCCAAATGACTTGCTGAAGGCCCGTAAGACGGTACGAGCAGCCGGATCGCGTGCCCAAAAGAAAACCTTATTTCAGGTCCAGAAAGAACATTAAGGAGGAAAGAGCCACCCCTACACAGCCGGGCTGTGCTATTCCATACACTTGGTGGTAAAGCAGATATTTTTCCCCCTCGTTCAGGCTTCACCCTCCACTTACTCTTCGGCTCTGAGTCCACTTGGCCAGCGACGCTCAACCCCTCCATTTCGCTTCCAGGATCCACTTTGAGGGACTCAGTCCTGTCTAGAGATGCTGCAGAGGGAAAACACTACAGATCCAAACTGACCTTGCCAACCCATTCAGGCTCACACACATCCCCTCTGGGATGCAAGCCTTCTCCCATCCCAGGTCACCAAAGCAACACTAAAGGCTATTTCTCTCTGTCCAGACATCTCCCAGCCCACAGGATCGTGCACAAAGCTGTCTTTTCCTCCACCGCACCGTGCCCCCCACATCCTTGTCTGCTAGGAAGTGGATAACAATGGGACAGACGCAGAGACCCTTCCACCCTGCAGCATGCAGACCCCACGGCGGGAGCCGGGTCTTTGCTGGGGTAGGGGGTCATCGAAGCACACCCAGCAGGCAGATTTGTTGAGGGAAGGAGGAGACACGGATCCCAATCATCGTCTCACACACGCGCGCGCTCCAGGTCAATGCCGTGCTAATATGCTCACGTTGTTATTATTTTCCAACCTAGCACTTTATTGCCATTTCCTAAAAGCGACTCAAATTACTCACTGTGTTATTATGGGCAGAATGCCATCGCTCCGGCAATAACATAATAGTACGCTTTTACCAAGGGGAGAGAAAAAGGGAGCCAGGCAGCATTTCTCTAGCGAGACCCATGGATTACCGGCCTCCTTTGCGGCAGATTTCCTGGGGAATACGCTGCCCAGCCGCTTATTACATAAGGGGAATTTGCTTTCTGTTGACATGTTGCCGCGTCTGGTTTAAGGCCTGCTCGCCGGGTGGATCGACTGTCCTGCTGCATGGCTGAGACCTGGAGGAAAGCGACTTGCTGCGGGACAGGAACTGGCCGGCCTTGGGACCCTTAAACCACAGCCGCCTTCAGAAAAAGGAGCTTGCTGCTGCTAGGCTCCAACCCAGATCTGCCTTGCCAGCAAGTCAGAGCATAAAGTAAATGCCTCCGTGTAACGTGCCACCCCAGAGCCACACACCACCGCTGCCATGATAAATGCCCGGGCACATTCACGTGCATCTACAACTCAGACCTCGGCATATCGATGCTGCCCAATGCCACTCGCTTCACTGCAGTTGCTTCCCTCCACGAAGACAGCGGCAGCCCCCCAGCTGCGTCCTGCACCCACGACTTGGGACATAGGTGCACACTCCCATCCTTCACCACCAAAAGCAGAGCGTGCAACGCCTCTGCCCCTCATTCAACTCGTTGTTCATTTGGCCTGTGCCGGAGCAGGCCTCTCTCGTCATCCAACCCAGAGCGACAACCCCCTCGGGGATCCGGGCTTTCTATATAAAACCCCTGCGAGACAGAGCGACGCTCCCCAAGCACTGAGGATTCAGAAAGGAAGACGCTAAAAAAAAGAAGCAGAAATGAAATGGGGCAGGGAGGGAAGGAAGTTAACTAAGGGAAGCAGCAAGGAGACAGGGCGGAGGACGGCTGCTGAGACACGACATGCCGGATCCAGCGATATGTGCACAAGGGGCGGAGGGGAAAGACGCAGGGCCCAGCATGGGGGAGCTTCCCAGCTCTCCCTGTGCACCTCGCACGCCGTCCCCGCCTGCCAAGTCACCCCCAGACACGAACACCGAGCAGCCACTTCCAAATCCTACCCCCACCCATGGGTTTCGCTGTTCCTGTCCTGGATACCTTTGTGCACAGAGCCTGACCCCCTCCAACACGCGTCGCATCTGCGCTGCAAGACCCCAACGGCCCCCCGCACCTGTAAGCCCCCAACCCTCCACCTCACATCTGCAATGCAAGCCTCCAACCCCCCTCAAACACATTTCACATCTGTAAGCCTTCAACTCACATCTGTAATGCAAGCCCCCAACCCCTACACCACACACACATACCTCACATCTGTAATGCAAGCCCCTAACTCCGTCCCACCAGCACCTCTGCCCCCGCAGCAGCTGGGGAGGAAAGAAAGATCCCACCATCCAAACCGGTGCAAGAGCCGGGGAAGCCGGGGCAGGCAGGAAGAGGCTGGGGGGAAGGAGGGGCTACAAGTCTGGGCTGCCAAGACCCACTGCCCGGCCTCCCCGCCCCAGCTCCGGAGTGGCAGGATTCAGTCACCATCAGCACTGCACGAGTGATAAGCAGAAATCTTAGGGCTGCAGATGGGGATGGGGGGGAAGTGGCGCACACACACGCACACACTATACCAACTTGCAATTAAAATGCCTGGATTGTGACCTAACCCACGAGCCAAGGCACCAGCCTGGTATGAAGGAATTTAACTCTTTGCACGCAACAAGCCGGCTATTGTTGCGCCCGCATTCCTGCCCAGCCAGCCCGCGAGACATGCACACGCAGTGGACACGCGAGCACACAGACGCACACAAGAACACACCAAGTCACGGACCCGCGCACAGAACCAACCCAACCCCCCTTCCTTGGCATCCCTCTATAAAGCCCCAGTGCCCCCTAGCATGCACACACCAGAAATACATATATACATATACACACACACAGGCCCAGACCACTTCCCCCAGTGCCTCCCCCCCTCCACACACACACACACACACACACACACACACACACACCTTCCTTGGCATCAACCCCCCCAGCGCCCTTCCCCTGCATGTACACATACACACACAACCCTGTCCCCCCCACACCTTCTTTGGCATTGAACCAGTGCCCTCCCTCCCTCCTTGGCATTGATGTATACAACCCCAAGCTCCACCCCCTACACACACACAACCCATCCCTGGCATGGAGCTGCCTCCACCCCCCCCCACAACATGTGTGGACACACACAAAACATGCAACTACTACCCTGCTTCATTGGCATGATCTGCAAACCCCCCCAGTCCTCCAAGCAGGCACATGTGCATGCACACACACACACACACACACTTCCTCCTTGGCATGGATCTATACAAGCCCCAATGCCCCCCCCACATGCATGCACACACACATGCACACACGCATGCACACACAATATATAAAGTAAGATTTTATTTTGAGCTATTACACAATTGCCTCAAAAACACAAATCAAGATATTTTAATAAAATTAAAATATATCTATAATTTAACCAATTATAGATAAAATTATAAATTATATCTTCTAAAAGATTTTCTATGA